AATAGTCTTCCTATACAGTTGAAAGTGCTTTACTGATCTGGATACAATAAATTCTATTAAACTGGATATTCAACAATATTGGCTTCCTAAGAAGTGAAGGGATTTTATTGCTTCACCTCGTATTTTTCCCCAGAACCATAGATAAATATCTGTACCCACTCATTCAATCGTTGATCATTTTCTGAGTATCTATTATGTGTTGAGAGCACAGCAATTAACTAAGCAGATCAGGTTTCTGCTCTCATTCTTCCAGAGGTAGAAAAACCAGTGAGTAAACTGAATAGATAAAAAATGAAGTGCCACGTTTTAGGAAGATGAATATATCTGCTGTGAGGGAGGTGTGGGAAGCAGGGAGATGGATGGCAATGACATTTTATACATTATTGTGGTGACTGGACTATTTGTAATTTATAAAGTATACATCAGTAGTTTTTAAAAGTGCCACTACCTCGAGATAAAAGACCCAAGCTTTCAAATCTGTAAGATTACTCTAAGAGAAAACCCTGGAAGGGTTCAACCTAGCAGGTAAACTGTGTTATTCACACAATGACCACAGGCTCCCAGACAAGTGAGCAAGTGGATTACACATTTACTAAAATATTATATTGTGTTATGTGATACTTGGAAAGTCAAAGTGAGACCCAACTGTCTAAAGTCAATATTCCTAATCCTAACCCACCTTTTCAGTCACTCATATAAGACAAGAAAGTAAGGACTTTGATAACTTAACGATTTGCAGCCCACGGTCAAATTTAACTACCTGGTAATATGAAATGTTTCCAGCCTGAGAAATTCTAATAAATTTCTGCTTATCTTGAAGATCAAATATGATAGCTTTTTGTTGTTCTATTGGGCGAGCTATCAAATTTATTACTACTGAACTTGATTTTGGATTTGAGCAATTTCGGTTAATGGCCAAATAGCTTTATGCCAAATGTCTTTTCGACTTTCCACACTTACAGTATCCTTCAACTTTTCTTTCTCCTTCACTTCCACTGCTACGACCTACCACAGCTCAGGTCACCACCATCTCTTGCTCAGCCTACTCCAAGAGAATAAATGACCTTGGTTCTAAGCTCTCCCTGATCCAAAGCCACCCTGCCTACTCTTGCCAGAACCATCGTCCTGACACACATCTATGTCACACGACGCTCTGACGCCAGAATCACTGAGAGCCAAAATGCCTGCCAAATAAAATCTAATTTCTCAAGCCAGTAATTCAAGGCTAATCACAATCCATCTCCAATTAATTTTCCCAGCATAGCTCAAGAAATCGGTATACTCACAGAGAACTGACTTTTCTGAAATTCGTACCTGTCTATACTTTCTAGACTTTTCTTCCTTCTCTTCCTCCTCCTTCCTCCTCCTTGCACCACCTGCTCTTTGTCCCCATGTGTTCAAATTCTGTGGATAAGTGTATACTTAATGTACTCTGCAGACAGTCTTTCCCAGACACCGTGGTCCAGAAAACGAAGAAACAAAAAGCTCTTTCCTCTGCATTTCCAGGGAGCAGACTCTGTACCAGGTTTATGACACTAATCACTTTCTTTGTGATACTGTAGTTATGTCTAATTTAACCTTTTAGACTCCAGACTTACCAAAGAGAAAAAGTGTAACTTACATGGCTACTCCTCATACTGCCCTGCACAGAATGGATGTTCAGCCTCAAACTGTTAACTCAACGGTCTAAAATTCCACTTTATTTTCCCTACTGAAGTATCTCTAATTTCAATACAATTTAAATGTAAAAAAGCCAGTTTGCTCTAACCTGCGATTTCATCTAGAGTGCTTGCTCTCATATCCAGCATGACTGTTCCATTTAGGATGCAGCTTCTCAGTTCAAAGAGGCTGTGCAAAGACAGGGTCGCCACGTAAGGCTTACTCCACCGGTCCCCACCGTCTTCAACGTCCTCTTCAAATTTCAGCCATCTGAAATGTGTAATACAAAAAAATACTGTCTAAGTAATGATGATTCCGTTTGTTTATTTTAATAGGATGAACACACGCTTGTTCTTTTAAAAAGAAACAAAGATCACCACCACCAAAACAAAATTTTGCTGCAAACACATTGTTGCAAATTAGGCTAATGGTCCATAATGTCGAGAGTCAGAAGGGACCTTTGTAGTTCCTCTTTCTGTTCGAGCGGTCACAATCACAAGCCTACAAAAGCAAATGCTGCAATTCCGTAATTTCTACTTCCAATCTCCTTCAAAGTTGAAATAAGCATTGTCGATTTTTCAAATTTGTGCTATACTAAAGGATTAAGGATGATTTCAGGAAACAAACTTTTGAGAATATAGAGAAAAAAGGGAACATACAATTTCTAGACACAAGGAAATTCTCATTGTTTTGAAGGACTAGGTATCTCACAATTTCAATTTTATATTCTCATCACAAGAACAGACCAAGTAAAGGCAATTAAAAGCTGACAGCGGTATTACCGAGCAGTTTCCTTCCACTCGTACTCCTCTCCGTCTCTGTAGCACAGCTCATCCATCTCCGTGAACAGGTCATGTGGGATATGCTCTTCATCGTCATCCTCAGTACCCAGGATGAACTGGACTCTCTGGGAGGGTGTGTCTTGACAAAAATCAGAATTTAAACGCACTCAAAATTTTCCTTGGTTAATACAGAGGTAAATTCACAATTCCAAAAGCGAAACGCTTTTGTTATAAATAAATATATCCCATCAAAACTCACTTAATTTCCAAAATATATAAATAGCTCATACAACTGAATTAAAAAAAAAAATCCAAAAATGGGCAGAAGACCTAAACAAGCAATTCTCCAGTGAAGACATACAAATGGCCAAAAGGCACATGAAAAATGCTCAATGTCGCTAATCATCAGAGAAATGCAAATCAAAACTACAATGAGGTAACACCTCACACCAGTCAGAATGGCCATCATTCAAAAGTCCACAACGATAAATGCCAGAGAGGCTGTGGAGAAAAGGGAACCCTCCTACACTGCTGGTGGGAATACAGTTTGGTGCAGCCACTGTGGAAAACAGTATGGAGATTCCTCAAAAGACTAGGAATAGACTTACCATATGACCCAGCAGTCCCACTCCTGGGCATATATCCAGAGGGAACCTTAATTCAAAAGGATACACGCACCCTAATGTTCACAGCAGCAATATTTACAACAGCCAAGACATGGAAGCAACCTAAATGTCCATCAACAGATGACTGGATAAAGAAGCTGTGGTATATCTACACAATGGAATACTACCCAGCCATAAAAAATAATAAAATAATGCCATTTGCAGTAACATGGATGGACCTGAAGAATGTCATTCTAAGTAAGCCAGAAAGAGAAAGACAAATACCATATGATATCATTCATATGTGGACTCTAAAAAAAAGACAAAGAACTTACTTAAAAAACAGAAACAGACTCACAGACATAGAAAACAAACTTATGGTTACCAGGTAGAGAAGGGGGTGGGAGGGGATAAATTGGGAGTTAGAGGTTTGCAGATACTAATATGTATAAAATAGATAAACAACAAGTTTCATACTGTGTAGCACAGGGTAGTAACTTATGTTGAAAAAGAATAGGGGGGAGGGTATAGCTGAGTGGTAGACTCAGGTGTGCTTAGCATGCACAAGGTCCTGGGTTCAATCCCCAGTCCCTCTGTTTAAAAATAAACAAATAAAAATACTGTATTTCAATAAAATAAATAAATAAAAATAAAAACCCTAATACCTCCCCCCCCAAAAAACAACAAATAAGAAAAAAGAAAAAGAATATGAAAACAAATAATATGTATGTTCATGTATGACTGAAGCATTGTGCTGTACACCAGAAAGTGACACATTGTAAACTATACTTCAATAAAAATATATACACACTTTTTTAAAAAACTCATTTAATTATTACTAAAATACCGTAATTCTGGAAGGAAATGAGAACCAACAACCCAGAACAAAAGAATTTCACAGAAAGATCACCCCCAAAGACAAGAAAAAATATATATATAAAGATAAGTCACACTAATCTTTAACTAATGTAAAAACAAACAAAAGTAAGCAATAGCCAAAAACAAGGAACATCATATATGACAGGACTAAAAATAGATGGAAATGTTAAATAATGAACATTATAAAATATGTAATTAATACATAGTTAAGTTTAAGAGTAAAAAAAGAACCCCAAGTTTCAAAAAGTAAAAGAGGAGATTCAAAGTTAACTTTTCCTACTATTATGCAGAAGCAGAAGCCTGTCAGCTGAGGTCAGGGAGGTAGGTCAGGTCACTGCCACTCCTGACATCTGAGTTTAAATGATCTGTGCGGTACAAGTCCCCAGACAGAGAAATGAGCACACATTCTAGTCCAGGACAGGTGAAAACCCTAAGGCTCAGCACAAGCACATATGCAAACAACTACACGCATCAACTGAAAACACAACCATATTCTTCCAAATATGAGAGAGGAGGCCAAGCTCAAAACTTATACCTAAGTAAACAAACCTCCAGGAACTTAAGAGCTGCAAAAGGGATATTAAAACCAGTTAAAAAGTAGATTAGAAAGAATTGTTACAGGAAAAAGATCTGAGGAGGCAGTTACATAGAATTCATCCACGACACTTAAGAAGACACAAACCAGAAGTCACAAGGTTAAGAGAGAGAGAAAATAGAATAAGAAAGTCGAACAGGAAAAACTCCAGAGAGAGAAAAATACAAAGAACAGGGGAAGAAGCAACACGAAAAACATAACTGAAAAGTGCTGAGTATGTACATGACATGGGTCATCACAGTGAAGGAATGAATGCCCCGACACTCATGCAGACCAGCAAAACCACAGGGTGACAGACTTCCTAATAGTCTGATCCTTTTCAACATGTAGGTCTTGCACATCTTTTGTGATATTTATCCCTGAGTAATATTTCTGGTGCTGTGCTCTATTTTTATTTCAATTTCTGACTGTTCATTGCTACTACATAGAAACACAGTTGATTGTGTACATTGATTCCGTGTCTGGCAATCTAGCTGAACTCACTCAGTTCTATAGTTTTGTGGACTGCTTAGGATTTGCTATATATATGATTCTGTAACTGTGATTAAAGGCAGTTTTCTTCCTTTGCCACTTGGGCGCCTTTTATTTCTTTCTTGCCTTATTACATTGGCTACGTGTGCAAGTACCATTCTGTAAAGAAATGGAGAGAGAGGACATCCTTGCCTTTTTCCAAAGCATAGGGAGAAAACATTCAGTCTCTCACCAGCATCTCCAGATGCTCTGTCTCACACTGAGGAAGTTTCCTAACATTCCTAGTTTGCTAGGAGAGTTTTAACATGAAGGGGGGGGGTGGAATTTGGTCAGACTTTCTCTGTCCTATTGAGATAACTATATGGGTTCTTCTCCTTTATACTATTAATATCTTTATTTACCCTGATAGATGTTTAGATTTTAAGCCAATCCTGCATTTCTACTTGTTCATCATATTAATTTCCTATTGCTGCCATAACAAATTACCAGAAACTTGGTGGCTTAAATAACACAGATTTATTCTGTTATAGTTCTAGAGACCAGAAGTTCAAAATGAGTTTCATGTAGGGCTAACAATCATAGGGCTGGTTCTTTCTGGAGGCTCCAGG